GCTACCATAGAACTCCAGGGTAGTGTTGAGCTGGCCCATGTGGGCTCAGGTAAGTCCTGGCTTTTTTTTTTTAACCATTTGGCATTCTTTTCAAAGTTACCCTTACGATTTTATGTCATAAAGGAAAGTAAGGCCAAACTTTGAAAACTTTGCCATACATGGGGGAAAAAAATAAGTCTGTTTTCTAAACATTATAAGCCAGCTCCATATGCTAACCAACGGAGTTCCATAGTAGCTGTGAAGTCCCCAGTGACTTATTGGTCTGTGGCTTCAGAATATGTTAAGCTTTACTCCTGGCCCAGCTTATAGGACATGAATTATTGTTGCTGCTGCTGCCATCATCTTTTTAAAAATACTTAGTAGCTATTAATATATAATGCAGTATCTTTCAGTTTTTGTGTTTTTTAAAATACATCAACTCTTTCCTTTACCTGCAGTTACATATCACTATATATAAAAAATGATATTACAGGTTAGTTGTATACAAGTAATCTTATAGAGCCTTTGGTTGACTTGCCATCATAACATGGAGGAGGAAGGGACAGAAAGTATGTTTGTTCAATTAATAAAAAGTATAAAAAAATACGCTTCAGTTATTCTTGGAGGCACCATGAGTTGTCAGTAAGCTAGAAAACAGATACAGGTCATATTTCTTTTTCTTACACTGCATCCCACCTGCCCTTTTTTCTGTAAAGCGAGATTTTAGCACTTACATTTATTTACACTTTTCCTATCACTTCTATTATTTCTTCCTACTTTTATCCTTGATACTAAAAATTGTCAGCGTGCAATTTAAAGAACTCAGACATCTTGCTTTTTTTCCCATATACTGTGGTGATGCCCTCCCCTTGCCGCATATTTTTTTTCTTTGCCCTATATTTAGAAAAAATGGTGGCTAGAAGTTTAAATTACATCAATATACTATAAACTCTGTTCAAAGTGAAAATCTATGTAGAAGGGCCTAAGCTTCATCAGTATTTTTCTTGGAGGTATGTGTAATAAAGATACAATAAAAATTTGGAGAGCTTAATGTCATTCTCATGAAATTTGATTTCTAAGTTTACTAATCTTTGTAGGTAAAAATTCACTAGTTATTGAGGCTGAGCTTATTCTTGTTAAGACAATGTAATTATATATTCACAAGATACTAGACAGTAGGGTATTTCCTTTTAAATATTCTGTGCCTAAACTTAAATATGTGTTCATTGTCCTGGAAGTTTGGAGAATTTTGTGCTGTGAAAAACAGAGAAGAAACTTCATACTCTATCTGGGGGATAAGTAGAGCATTGTCTTTCTGCAATTCAGTCAGTGTAGCGTTAGGGGTGGGAGGAGTAATTCATTGTTTTTGATGTTTGGGATTAGGCTAAGCAAATCTTGGTTGTGTGTGTACGTGTGTGTCAGTGTTATTGAGATATATATTATGCAGTTTAGCATTTTGAAGTTATGTGTGTGTGTATGTATTTGTTTTGTCTTTTTGAGACAGAGTTTCGCTATGGAGTTTTGGCTGACCTTGAACTCACTTTGTAGCCCAGACTGGCCTTAAATACACGGCAGTCATCCAGCCTCAGCCTCCCGAGTGCTGGGATTACAGGCGTGCACAGCACACCTTGCCCTGTTTTTATTTTTTAACAGCATTTACTGTGAAGGCAGAATGGATAATATGAATTGTAGTTCTAAAGCACAGTGATTGTGTGCTGTTTGGTCTGTGATTTGCGTCTCCTTGATTGTGCTAATTAACTTCTAGTTTCAAAAATCGTGCAGAAACATTAGAGAGGGAATATATTCTTAAGAATTTTTAAGAAGCTGGGTGTAGTAGGTAGAACACATCTGTGATCTCAGGATTCTGGGAGGCTGAGGTAGGATAATAGAAAATTTGGGCCCAGCCTGGACAATTTAGTAACTTAGTGAGACCCTGTCACAAAGTAAAAGGTTTTTAAAACAAGGCTAGGGATATAGCTAGTGCCAGTGCTACACATACCCACACACCCTCTAGAAAGAAATTTTAAGATGGGATTCTTTTAGACCAGTAATGGCGAATCTTTTCGAGACCGAGTGCCCAAACTGCAACCCCAAACCCACTTACTGCAGTGCCAACACTGTAATTAAGCCTCTGAATACTGAGGTTTTAGTTTAGAAAAAATAACTTACATTTGTATTTTTTTGTGTTAAAATGAAAAATAACAGAACTTTCAGTGAAACAAAGAGCTGGTGCTGCTACTTCTTTCTGAGCATGCCCATGGCCTGTGTTATCCTGATGCTCAGGTGGTGGGGCAGTGCTGGGGTGATTTTACTTGCAAGCCGACAAAGAGGGCTCTGTCTGCCTGCTGTGGCACGTGTGCCATAGGTTCGCCACTGCTATTTTAAACTTAGGCTATATAGTGAGGTAAGTAGAAATAGTGAGGACAGTGAAGCCAAAAAAGGAAGTAATTTGATGTTTAGTTTTAGATTACATTGTATTTGTCACTTGAAAATAAAAAAATAAAGATATACAAACACATTTGTATATATTCATGTTCATACAGGTGTACTTGAATAGATGTTTCATTTCAGGTAAATCAAACTCTTGGGTTGCCTTTGGGAGAGCTTAGAACACTTCATATATTTTATGAGATTTTATAGACCAACTTTATAGACAGGCAAAAAATAACAAGATGCTGTGATGCTGCACACACCTTGAAATGTTACAGCTTTTTTGTTTGGTTAGTTAGTTGTCCTGGGAGTTGAACGATGCCCTTACACATGATAGGCAAGCAACCTACCACTAAGCTACATCTCCAGCCTGAGTTCTAGGTTTCATAGGACAGAAGGGAAAAATAATTGCCTTCATATAGAAATACTGTGGAAAAAAAGGAGAGGCTGTGCATACTCAGTTTTAAATAAAATAAACTGTGTTAAATTTTCAAAAAGTTGTGGGGTAGTTCTTAACTGTTACTTAAAAGTTTTCAGAGTTGTGTACTTCAGCATAGTTAGAAATAGAAAATGCTGTAACTGTACTTTATGCATGTGTTTGTGCATGTGTTTTTTGTGCAAGTTTGATCCTAGGTCTCATGTGTACTAGGCAAGTGTTCTGCATCTCTAGCTCCAGGATTGTCTTTAGGTCAAGTAGCACTTTCTGTGTCTTTTCTCTGGCTTTGTCCTTTGGGTTGGTTTATCACCCTTATCTCACGCCACTGAACTAAATTTTAGCCCTAATAACTTCTAGGTCACTGTTGCTTATAAGTATGTTTTGAAGCTTTTATAAAATGGGTTAGGGATGAGATTTAAAGGTGAATTTATGGGCATATATCAAGGACTACATTAGCAACATTGATGTGAAAATAAAATTTCCTACAAAAAGATATTATCAATACCATGAAGGATTTTCTTTCTTTTTTTTTGGTTTGGTTTTGTTGCTGCTAGGGCTTGAGCTTGGATCCAGGGCTTGGGTCCACATTGCTAGGCAAAACACTGTACCACTTAGCTACAGTCTTAGCTTCAATACTGTGTGTTTTAGGGGCTGGGGATTTAGCTCAGCGGCAAAGCGCCTGCCTGGCAAGTGCAAGGTCGTGAGTTCGGTTCCCGGTACCGGAGAAAAACAAAACAAAACAAAAAAAAAAATTCAATACTGTGTGTTTTGTTTTGTTTTGGAGGTGGAAGACACACTCTCTGTGTCTTCAGGTTATCCTTCCACCTTAGCATCTTGAGTGCTGGGACTTTAGGTGCATTCAACCATGTCTAGCTCTATGATGAGTTCTTAACCTGAAAAATGTATTGTGGAGGAAGAGGAGACATTCTTTGTGGGGAATGATCTGGACTTGCAGAATGAATCTATAACCATGATGTCTGAAGACTTTCAAAGATGGCCCATAGATATGATTATAAATGACTTTTTTGAATATAGGCGTCATATTGCTTTGTGTTTCTTGTATTGCCTATTAATGACCTCAGTATGCCATGAGTATTAAGTGAATGTGGGAATTGTCATTTTAAGCCTTTTTTTTACTTTTAGTATAGTGGAAGATTGTTATATTATACGAGTCTGTAAGATATATCTATCTTGATTCCTAATTCAAAATTGCTATTTAAACATGCTTTTTTAAAGCACACTAAGTATATTTTTACATAGTATTAGCATTCTGTTCGATAATTTTTTGAAAAACTTAAAATTACATGATCCTATAGTTTTTTTTAAAGCACTGTTTATATTAAATTGGAAGCTAATCTACACTTTCTTTTTCCCCCTAAGGCTGCTTATTCATACTGTACAGCTTAGTAAACACAATTACGGTTTTTAACAGTAATTTGTTAAGATTAATAAAATGATTCAGTGGGAATGGAAAGTTTTGGTTTTTTTTTAAATGAATTTGGAGAAAGTGATGTTTATTTTATCCTCTGCCCTAAACTGGTTTATAATGTTTTATTATCTGATTCAATTTTTATTTTGTTAGCAATTCTTGATAGGTATAAGGAAGTCTCATCTATGAGCGGATCTGAAAAAAAATATTACAAACTTTTCTTACAATGAAAGCTTGTGATGGAAGTTGTTCTAAAGCTTAACAGCGGTATGGAAAGCACAGTTTTTTTTTTTTTTTTTTTAATTTCACTTTTAAGAATGTAGTATAGGACAAAAAAGCAGCCCAACACCAACTGTAAGCGTAGTGTTGGTTTCTCCAGTTCTGCAGTCAAGATGAACTTAGGCCCAGTATGGGGGCTTCCTGTCTTCTCTGAAGTCTTGTTTCTTACACTAGATTACAGGCTTTCCATGCAGATACTGTATTCTAATAGTTCTTCTACAGCACTGATACAGGTAAGTGCCTACTAAGACAGTTCCAGATCTGCAAAGAAATTTTAAAAAGGGAAAAAAATACAATTTTCCTTGTATTCTTTGGGACATTTAAATGATATCTCAGGATCCAGGGAAGCACAGAGAAACACTTACATTTTGATATAAACGTTACAGGTTTGTACCTCTTATTAAGGAAGATAGAATTAAATGCTTTTTTATCTTGATGCTGTTTTAGGGGTAGTAGAAGGTGATTTAGCTGCCATAGAAGCATACAAATCATCAGGAGGAGATATTGCACGTCAGCTCACTGCTGATGAAGTACGTTTGCTGAACCGTCCTTCTGCCTTTGATGTTGGCTATACTCTGGTACACTTAGCTATACGTTTTCAAAGACAGGATATGCTAGCCATATTGCTTACAGAGGTAAGTGTGGCATTTTGGTTAAATATTTTATACTAAGGAGTATGTTCGTTAGCTTTCATTTTTGACATTATAATGTTTCTCTAAACAGTTCTTAAATATTTTATATATATTTTACCCACATTTAAGAAATCATACTAAACTCAAGCAATTTCAACATTATGTAATTTTTGTTTTTTGAGACAGGGTCTTGCTGTGTAGTTAGATGGCCTTGAACTCACAGTATAGCCCAGGGTGGCCTCAGAATTGTAGTGATCCTTGTGCCCCAGCCTCATTAGGGCTAGGATTGCAGATGTGCGCCGCTGTGTCTGACTAATAGTACAGAATTTTTAAGGGTGTGTGCTTTTTAATTTTTTCTTTTCAGATGAGGTGTAACTGTGTCCTGGGCTGGCCTCAAACTCCTGGGCTCCAGTGATCTTCCTGCCTCAGATTTCTGGGTAGCTAGGACTGCACATACACTCCCCACCCCCGCAGCATATGCTTTTAGGGTTTTGTTTCGTTTTGTTTTGCTTTTTTTTGTGGTACTGGGGATTGAATTTAGGGCCTGTGCATGCTAGGCAAGCACTCTACCACTGAGCTATGTCCCCAGCCCAGCATATGCCTATTTTTTTTTTTTTTTGGTGCTGGGACTTGAAATCAGGACCTTGTGTTTGCCAGGCGGGAGCTGTACCACTGAGCTATATCCCCCAGCCAGCATGTGCTTTTAAAGCAGGACATTTTGCCACAATATTTCAGTTAAACATTACTTGAATTATGTTTAAAAGGCACTGGGATGTACCTGTTACTCATTTAAAAAATATTTATTGACTATGCTGTATGCCAGGCACTATGCTGAGGATGGAATTGTGAAGACATTGGGTCTTCCTTTCAGTAAATTTCCACAAAAGTAGAAAAATGAATAGGTAATTCTACAGCTTTTGTAGTGATGAAGTGCCAAGTGCTGTGGACTTAGTGGGTGTTTGCAGGTGTCCTCCCTTTGTACTTAGACCAGGTAATAGTTTAGCTAAATCTGGAGAACTAGGAGTTAGCCATGTGAAGTGGAGCAAGGGAGAGGATTTGAGGAAACCATTTATGCAGTGGCCATAGGTCATGGTATGTGTTTGTGGTGAATTCACTTGTATATAATTCAGAATGATTGAGTAGTGATTGGGGACTGAGAGAAGGGAAATGTGAGAGAGGAACAGGGGCAGGATTATGAAGGATCTTCTATATCAAGGTAACTTAAAGATTATTTTAAGGGCAGTAAAAGGGGAAGATTATTCTGAGAGCCTGCCTTCCTTGTCAGAGAATTTTGAGATAATCTTGAGGGCACTGAAAGACGAGCAAGGACAAGAGCAAAGAACTGATAAGAACACATTGTGTTTTGGTTGCATTGGAGAGGGGCAAGCCTAGTTAGGAGCCTGTTGCAGTGAGACTGGCCAGAGCTCTGATAGTAGCATAGAGACTGTGGAAATGGAAAGAAACAGGCTGGTACAGAGATGTACTTAGTCTTAAGGAGCAGGTGCACTGGATGTGGGAGTAGTGGTAAGATAATGGACTGAACTGATTTTGAAGTTTTGGGCTTAGATAACTAAGTAGATGTTACAAATGATAAAGATTGCAATATCCAAGGTATGTTTTTTATCATCTGGACATTTTTTTTTTAATAAGGGAAATACAGTAAAAGTACATAGTTAAACTCAAGAGTTTGTCATTATACAGCTTGTGTACTTAGGCATGTTTATTCAAATTTGTCAGTATTTTGGAACCATTTTGTATAGGCCACTGTGTAAGGTGTTAAAAAACATGCAGGTTAGATGAAAATGTGATCGTGGTCTTCTGCCGTTATATTCAGTTTTTTCCATTGACACCAGGGGGAAGGAGGGTGGGCTCAGGAAGGTGAGGTTTAGAGATACCAAAGTCTGGGATGAAAATATTGGGCAGGTTTACTGAGTATAAAGGAGAAGAGCACTATTGAAAAGGAACCGTGTAATTAGAGAGCAGGAAGAACATTGGCTAGAACAGTTAGATGTGGTCTGTGTGGTCTCTAAGGCCTGGGTGCGTTTGTGTTGTGATGCCAGTTGTGTTGTGAATTGGAAGGAATGTTCCTGTGGTGTAGTTGCTGGTGGTAGCAGGAGACAGATAAAAAAACAGCTGTGAGCCCTGGTTAAAGTTTTTAGGGTATTCATAGGTTTCCCTCAAGCTGGTAGAAAACAGTTTAGAATGGGCTGTCATAAGTCACTGGACTCCTAAGAAACTGAGAACTGGCAGTGGTATGATATTAGAATACTAGTGTATTTATTACTTACTGCCATGTCACAAATTACTTGAAAAGGTAGTAGTTTAAGATAAATATTTGTTACTTCAATTTGCAAGAGTCAGGAATCCAGTAGAGGCTTAGCGGGATAGTTTTGGCTGCGTTTATAACAAAGTTGCTGTTAAGTTGTTGGTGAGTGGTCTAGTCAAGAAGCTCACCTGGGTTAAAAGATCTGTTCCCAAGATCCAGTCACATGGTTCTTGGCAGGAGGCTTCAGTTCCTTGCCATGTGCGCTCTTGTATAATATTGACTCATGTGGCAGCTGGTTTTATCCAGACCAAATGATTCAAAAGAGGGATATAGTGTGAGTGAGTAATCCAGATGGAACCTGCAGTGTCTTTTATGAATCAGTTTAGGAACCAGCAAACTCTTAACATTACCAAATTCTATGAGACATGTAGACTAATCCTGGTACAGCATGGGAGAGGTGGAAGAGGTTTGTTCCAGATCAGAAATAAAATTGGTAATAGACTGTAGTCTCAGTGGAGTAGTTACATCAGAGGGTAGTATTAAGGGGGTTAAGTAGGGAGACTTGAGAGAGTACGTGAGTAAGGGTTTGGGATATGTCTGCAGAGAAAGCACAAAGCCAGGTTCTTTTGGAATGAGAACAGGAGAAGGTTGACTTTGGGATATGTATCTAGACTTTTCATTGTGTTTTATGTCAAGGACTTTTTTTTTTTTGGTACTGGGAATTGAAATCACAACCTTGCGCTTGCCAGGCAGGTGCTTGGGCCACTGAGCTATATCCCCGGTCCTATGTCAAGGACTTGTTGGTAGTATAGTGGGACCTGGGGATCAAAAAGCTTTTTAAATAAAATTAAGTATGATTATAAATGAAATCAGTTAAATTGAAATATAATTATCAAGATACTAAGCCAGATTTGTAATTTATAAGAAAATACATTTTATTATGGGCAAGAAGTTACTGAAATTGAAGAATTTAAATTTAATTAAAATAAAATTCCCATTTAAATTCATGGACCTTTCCCATGTTCATGGACCCTACATTGAAAACTACTAGCATTAAGATGTTGGAAATCATAATATTGAAGAGGCAAGAAGATGACAAGCAGGCTTTAGGGACCTGTCCTGCTTAAAGTGGTGATAAAAGAGTAACACTTGGTGGTCATGTTTTTTCTTGGAATTTTTGCAGTATTCAGGGTCCAGTCAACTTTTTTTTTTTGGCGGGGGGTGTGGAGGCAGGGTCTCACTATGTAATGCAGGCTGGCCTTGAACTCCCTTATAGGTTGTTTTTGTAAGTTCTATAGTTTTTAGAAAGGGTCTGAGGGCTAGCAGATTGGAAAAGGCTATTTTTATTTTTACTTTATTTATTTATTTATGTCTTTTTGTGAGACAGTTCAGGCTGGCCTTGAGCTCACTTTGTAGCCCAGGCTGGTCTCGAGCTCACAGTGATCCTCTCTTGCCTCAGTCTCTGAGATCACAGGTATGTGCCACCATGCCTGGTGAAAAGGCTATTTTTTTAAAATTTCACTTTTAGTATCTATTTTAGCAATGTTAGCCAGTAAAGTCTTAGTAAAACTAAATTTTTATATAGGAGCTTTCTCTGTTATGCAGGGATTTTGAAACCCTCTTTACTGGTTATTGTAGTTAGTTGTCCACAAGTACTACATAGTTGAATTATCTGTAAAACTCACTCTTTAACAATTTGTTTAAATTTGATTTCTTTATTTCAAGTCAGGGTGCTTGAAACATGTAGATGAAGAGTGTTTAACTTTCTTCTTTTTATTTTCAAAGAATATTTTTTTTGGGTACACCATGGTTAGTCCATCTAGGTTTTCTGTCTTCCTTCTTGCTCCTGTGATATACCTTTATGAACAGCAGACTTTTACATAAAATACTACACATACATATTTTATAGGTCTTTGTGTTTTTTTTTTTTTTTTTGAGACAGGGTCTTGTTCTGTAGTTGAGGCTGGGCTTGAACTCATTATGTAGTCCAGCCTGACTTTATGTTCATGATCTTCTTGCCTCAGCCTTCCCAGTGCTAGATTACAGGTGTGGGTCACCTGCTTGGCCCTTTTACTGAATCTGGATAAAACATTTTTATGGCTGTATCCCTGAAAAGTTGTACTAATACATACTTCTGCTGGTGAGGAAATAATACCCTGTACATTTTAATATTAGAAAGAACAACTGAATTATTGGGAAATTTCTTTTAAATGCTGTTGTATTCTTCTATTTATGATAAATGAGGTACAGAGCAAAGCTTCTTTTGTATTTAAGGTGTCTCAACAAGCAGCAAAATGTATTCCAGCAATGGTGTGTCCCGAACTGACAGAACAAATCCGGAGAGAAATAGCTGCCTCTCTTCATCAGAGAAAAGGGGATTTTGCTTGCTATTTTCTAACTGACCTTGTAACATTTACTTTGCCAGCAGGTAACTCCAAAATTTAATGTGAAATGAAATTTTTATTTCTATTTTAGGCCGGGCGTGGTGGCGCACGCCTGTAATCCCAGCAGTCGGGGAGGCTGAGGCAGGAGGATTGCTGCGAGTTTGAGGCCAGCCTGGGCTACAGAGTGAACTCAAGGCTAGCCTGAACTGCATAGCAAGACCCTGTGTCAATAAAGACCAAAAAGAAAAAGAAAAAGAAATTTCTGTTTTATTATAGTGTCTTTTTGTTTATAGATGAAACTTGTGGTCTTGTAAGAAAATAATTTATTTACTATATGGGCATCTTAAATGTCTTGATTGTCCTGTTTATGCTGGAAGTGATCACTTCAAGGGCTACTTGTAAATAATGCTTTAGTTATCAGTAACTGATTTCTTTGTGGGTCTCAGATCTTTTAAAGAAGTGTTTTATCCATTCATTTTCTTTTTTGGTGTTATTTAGAATAGCCTTTTTAGTCTGCTTTTAATTTTCCCGTTTCAAGTCTGTATTTTAAAATTGGTTAACTGGTATTTAAAAGACAGAATTAAGAGCATGGGCTTTTGGGCCAGGGATATATCTCAAGGGCACAGCGCCTGCCTGGCAAGCGCAAGGTCCTGAGTTCAATTCCCCATACCCCCCAAAAAAGAACATGGGCTTTTGATATATAGAGTTAGGTTATTTGATTTAAAGATACGGTTACTTTTGAACATACTATTTCTTTTCACTTATTATGTTCATTTCTACTATATTTGTGAACCCTGTTTTTTTTTTTTTCCTAATTTGTTAGCAGTTGAAAGTGTCTTCCAGGATGGGATACCTTTTGTCACTTGGCATTGAGTAAATATACCAAACATCAAAAGTTTCTAAAATCAAACTTCCTTCTGGAATCTGAATGTTTTGATTTTATTCAGATATAATCAGAGAAAGTTACAAATGTTAGATAACAATAACTAAGCCTGCTAAAATGAGAGCAAATGTAAATTGAAATGTATTCTTTATATTTAAGCTAACCCCAAGTCATGATTAGATTTTTATTTTGAATTGAAATTTTTTTTGTTTTGAGGCAGGGTCTTACCATGTAGTTCAGATTGGCCTTGAACTCACCTATGTAGGCTAGCCTGGCCCTGAACTCACAGTGATCCTCATGCCTCAGCCTCCAAGTGCTGGGATTTCAAGCGTGTGTGCCACCATGTCCGGCTAAAAATACTTCTTTAAAAAAAGGTATTTTTAAGGGTAATGCTTCTTACTCCAGGTTACTTTCACAAAGGAGGATTTCAAAAGACTGAGTGACAAAATACATAGTTCATTAATTTTTATAAGAAAATTCTAAAGTTTGAAAGTAACAGGTCTATATACTTACAAAGAGAAGAGAAAAGATAAAAATTTATATTTAATTATTGGTCCAAACGTTGCTCTTTATATTTTAAATCAGGGCTTGGCAATGAAATACAGGAAAGAAATAGTTTATATCCCAGACACATAAATGTACACATTAAAAAAAAACTCCACAGTCTTCAGTGGAAAGGGAGTTGTTACAGTATTATAGAGGACGTTACTGTTAGAGGCTCATGTTAAGTTTATTAAATTATGAAATAAAAGAAACATCTTTTAAGTCTTTTTTTTATAGACATTGAAGACTTGCCCCCAACAGTCCAAGAAAAATTATTTGATGAGGTGCTTGATAGAGATGTTCAGAAAGGTAAGGATGTAATTAATGACTGTGATTTGCCTTTATCTGGTAGTTAATATTTGCTTTGTTTTATAAGGTATGGAGTAGTTCAGTGTAGAGTCAGCTTGCTTATTTTTATTTTAAAGATGTAAAGTCCTGAAGAGCAGTGTCATATTCTGCTGTCTTGAAGTCATTAGGACTGGGGATATATATAACTCAGTGGTAGAGCACTTTCATAGCAGGCACAAGACCCTGTGTTTGATCCCAAGCATCAAAAGAAAAAGGGGAAGATAAAAGCTTATTTATGACTCCTAATTGTGATGGGATAAACAAAGATACAAAATTTTTAAAAATTTGTTTTCCTACTCCTTATTCAAGAGCGATTACATTTTTATATTAAACATTTTTAAGAAAATAAAATTATGAATAATTTAAACATTGAATAAACAATTCCAAGGCCTCAAGATGTTTGATTTACTCAAAAAGTTTATATTTCAGTAGATCAAATTTATTTAGGTACTTAGTAGTAAGTTACATATCAGCCCTTTTTTTTCTATGTAAAAAAGAGATTTTCCACTATACTGAATAGTGTGTAATTACATAGGCATGAAAATGAACATGTTATTTAGATTCTGTTGAACATGTTATTTAAATTCTCCATAGAGTTAGAAGAAGAATCGCCAATTATCAACTGGTCCTTAGAGTTGGCCACACGTTTGGACAGTCGCCTCTATGCTCTTTGGAACCGGACTGCAGGAGACTGCTTACTTGACTCAGTACTACAAGCTACCTGGGGCATTTATGACAAGGACTCGGTGCTTCGGAAAGCTCTGCATGACAGCCTGCATGACTGTTCACATTGGTAAGCTGGTATCCTTCACTGTTTCTACCTGGATTGCACTTGCTTGATCATTACCTTATAGGAGTGGGATACTTTTCAGTTGGATTTTCTGTGTAAGCTAGAAAAAAATTCATTTTGGTTTTGGACCTTAAAACACTTAGAGTATCTCAGGGGCTTTTATACCTTTTAGCTGAGCTGTAAAATGAAAACATTTGAACCTTTAAAATGGAAACTTTTTATTTTTATGTAATAAAACAACATAAGCTTTAACAGCTTTAACTATTTATTGGTAAAGTGTTTGCTCAGAATTGTGAAGTACTTAGTGATTTCCTATTTTCAACTTTAATTTCTTAAATGCCAACATAATCTTATTGACATTATTTTCTAAGCTATTTTTCTCTAGGGGAGGGACTCAAGATTACTTTTTGCAAATTTCAGACCTTCACAAACATTAAAAAAAGAACTACACAAAATCCCAGTATCTCTTTCATTTGATTAACTAGTTAATATTTTGGCTTACCTGGTTCCTGTCTACATGCTTAAATACTCTGCTGTCCCAATAGTTTTAGACCTCATAAAGTTTTACTCTTCATTTCAATATTAATCTTTCTAGAACAGGAATATTCTCTTACTCAGTGACACCATTATTATACCTAAAATTTAGTTACCTGACATACAGTCAATAGTTGTGTTTCTCCAATTGTCTCAAAATAGCCTCGTGTCTTTTTAGCGTTTTTGAGCATTTTCTGGTTGTAAATTTTGACATCATGCTTAGGGATTACATGAAGTAAATCAGAATATAAAGAGAACAGACATTTTGATTTGTTTCATTATAGAAGATATAGTACAATACCTAGAATAGCTTGGTACATAGTGAATGCTTGTTAAACACGAAAATGCTCTAGAATTTGGAAGTGAGATCAATGTAATTAACTTTCTTGAGCTAAATTGTAGATTAGAACATAATACAATAGAGCAAAAAATTTTTTGATTCCCTGAACAAAACAGCTCTCTGGCTGGCAAACCTACATGTAACTCTGACCGGATGTGTAATATAGAGAAAAAAAGTTCCATTCAGGTAGATGGCTTAGTCATTTAGTCTTTGTCCAGGAAAAGGGCTTCATTGCCTTTTAGTGGAGAGGAGGTGGATGCCATGGGTTGACCCAGTAGTATGAAGAACTATTGAGGGCGTTTTGTCTGGCTAGGTAAATTTGATGTTACTCTTTAGCCTGTCTTCGCCCTCTCATCTAGTTGCATGCTTATCAAGCAGTAATCTGATGACAATTTGATGTGCCTACACTGAGATGGTGAGACTGGTTTGGTTCCTGTGGTAGCAGTCTTTTGGCATTGTGGTTTTGCAGATATGCCCTGTAAGTTTGGTTGATGTTATGTGACTGCTCAGTGAGATGGATCTAGTCCCTTCTGTTAATGAAGTTTAACTGTGGTGAATGTACCACTTTGCAAATTTCCCTTTTAAAAGGCAGCCTGGTAGTCATTCCTGTGGTTGTAATATTGTAAGGCTTAAGTACATTGTGAATTTCAGCAGGTGATGTCTTTTTTCCTAATTGTGATTTTTTTTCCCAAAGACTTTTGTGGTTAGTAGTTTAGGGCTTATCTTACTGGCAGTAGGTGACCTTCTGTATTAGAGTTACCACTGATACTTGGATTGGACTAGAATTCTGAGGTGCTTGTGAGTTACTCATCTAGCACAGAAATAGGAAGAGGGAACTGGTATCTGAAGTAGCAAGTCAATGGTCTAAATAGGAAAAATGAGAAAGAAGGATGTTAGTTTCCAGCTGCTAAGTATTGCAGCAGAACTTTGAGCAAGTGGTCCTCATTCTAAAGGATGCTTCAGGAGTGGGGCCCGGAGCTGGCAAATAAACAGGATTCCTCAAAGTGTGCTTGACACCACTTCTTCCGATCCCTGTGGAGACACCTTTACCTGATGGTTTGGGCCACATTGAGTATAGTGATCACAGGGACATCCTTATACAGTGGTACTTCCTTTTACGAACTTGTTTTATGACTTTGGGGAAGATGGCTGTGGTCATGTTTGTCACCTGATGTGGCATAAGCAAAGTTTTGCCGAACCTTTTTGTCAACTGAGTTGCTTGCAAACAGAAGCATTAGTGAGCTCAGGTATTTATCGTGAGGATGGAGGCAGGACAGAGATTAGCTAATGGGAAGGAGAGAAATTGTGATGGCCATCAATTCAGGGGTTCTGAGAGCTCAATGTGTGACTATTACAAGGCAGAATGAGAAGGGGTGGAAAGTTGGCTATTAGCTTAGGTCAGGAAAGGTGGAGCCGGCATAGCACTTGTGTGTTTGTTTTTTCTTTTTTTCTTTTTTTACGCAGCTCTTTGCTGAGGTAGGTACCCTTATGCCCATAATCTGTATCAACTAGGAGATATATTTTAAGTCCTGTAACATTTCTAGAAAGCACTGAGAAAGCAAACTCATCCCCGATTACTTCAAGGTAGGCTATTTTTATGTCCGTGTTGCTGTGCAGTTCTGTTGGATACCTATGATTTGAGTTGACTCAGGCTCTCAAGACTGGATATATAGTATTGTTCTTGCCTTTCATTGATGTTAGTTGATTTCTCTGTATAAATGAGTAAAAAATTACAGTTCATACAGAACTGTTGCTGCTTTTCTTACTTGTTAGTGTTACCTGTAGCTTTGGGTTGTCGTTCTCTTTCAGTATAAACTGCCACAAATGCTGTTTCTGTAGACAAATAATAAATATATAACTATACCTGTCCAAATACATAAAATGTAAGACTGAAATGTCTTTCAAACATTTTAGAGAGCTAGAGATGTGTGTCAGTGGGAGAGTGCTTGCCTAGCATTGTGTGAGGCAGTGGGTTTGATCCCCAGTACCTGAGGGTTTGTCATTTTGATTTGCATATGCTTAATAACTGATGACACTGAACATCTTGTTATGTGTTAATGATGTCTTACTATTTACATATTATCATTGGTGAAAAAGCATTCCACATTATCTGTCTCCCCCCTCACCACACTTTGGGCCTTCAGCGGATTAAACCGTGTTCCCAGCTCTCTTGTGCTCATTTTTAAAAGGGTTGTCTCATTGTTCAGTTGTAGATATTGAAAAAACTGTTTTTCCCCATCTTGTTGCTTTAGCACTTTATATCAAAATTTTTGACTATGAAAGTAAACTTCTTTTGATTTATGTCTACTATTATATCATTATGAGATTATTTTTATTTATAGTTTTTAAATGAGATCTGAAATCAGAAGTCTTCTGACTTTAGTGTTTCTTTTTCAGGATTGCTGGCTATTCTGAGGCCTTTGGATTTCAGTAAAAATTTTAAGATCTGGCTTATCAACTTTTACAAAAATCCTCCTGGGATATTGATTGGAGTTGTGTAGAGTGTTGTAGATGGATTGAGGGACTATTTTAACTTGAGAGTATTGAGCTCTTCAATCTGAACATGGAATTGATTTTTGAATGTTACAGCAAAATTGCACCCCTGTGTTATGTGCTGATATGTTACTGAATTTAGAGTGCTTGCCTGTTCTGCATGAGCTAGCTTGCTTTTGAATTAAAGGCTTAGTGTGTGTGTGTGGGAAGTGATTATTTGAACAATTATTTCATTGGTACGAAAACATTCAAATATATTTCTTAGCTATTGTAAAAGAGAAACTCACATTTAAAAAATACTTTACATTGAGATTTAAAAGAAATGTATTAATATAAAAATTGAAAGAGAACAGTCAAAACCCCTTGGTTTCCCTGAATGAGATTGTTTGGGGGGTGCAGTACCGGGAATTTAACTCAGGGCCATACCACTGAGCTACATAAGCCTTCGTTAATCAGTGAATTAATTGAGATAGGGTCTTACTATGTCATTCAGTTTGGCCTTTAACTCATGGAGATCCTCCTGCCTCAGTCTTCTGAGTGCTGGGATTACAATTGTGTACCATGACACCTGCCCCCCCACCGTTTTTTTTGTTTTAAAAAAGGTTTTGGGACTGGATCTCACTAATTTGCTCAGACTGGACTTGAACTTGCCATCTCCTGGCCCCAGCTTCCCAGAATTGTGGAATTATAACCATGTGCCACTAGGACTAACTGAAAAATGTTTTTTAGCTGATGAAAAGTCCTTGTCTAACTCATTTTAGAAGCTCTAAAATATATTACTGTATTTTCCTGTTACTATTAAATTACCATAAAGATGCCTGTGATGTCATTTGATTTAACTTCACTGTTAGAACTTTCCACAACAAACAACAGATTGTTTTTATTTGGGGGGGGCATGCATTTGATACTGGGGATTTGAACCCAGGGCTTTATACATGTTAGGAATATACCCTGCCATATATCTAGCCCCAGATTGTTTTCTTGCTTTTTACCTAGAATTGAAGTACATAGAAGAAAATGTGATGTTTATATATTTACTTCAAGTCTGTACTTGGCTTGTATCTTAAGTTACTTTTCTTGTAAGCTAAGACAAAATACCTGACGCCCAAGGTTAAAGGAAGAAAAGTTTATTTAGCTCACAGTTTGATGAGGTTTCAGTGCATAGCTGGCTCCAAGGCAGAGGTGGTACATGGCAGAGGGACAACCATTCATGGCAGTGGAAGATAGCAAAAGCAACAAGAGAGAGCAGACAAGCCTGTTTCTGTCCCTTCTGTTGTATCCAGTCTACCAGGATTAGGGCAGTGCCAATCCAATCAGTGGAGTGATCCAACAACCACCCACCCTTAATCCCAGCATTGCAGTATGAATCAGCCCCACACACTAGATTCAGCCACCTCCAAAAAAACCCTATGACCACATGAGGCTTTGGGGGGACATTTAGACACAAACCATAACAGTTTGTTTTGTAAGACTATGAGCCACAATTTTGAGCATAATTACTTCTGGTTTTAGTTAATATTTTATGTGATGTAAGGAAAGAATAGATTTTACTTTATACGTGTAGTCTGTCAGTGATCCATTTTTAGATTTCCCTCATTTACTAGGATGAAGCATTTAGAAAGGTACTAAATAGGAAACAAGACTTGTTTTTGTAGTTGCACTAATTTGTTTTTAGATTATTGAGTGATCATCAGATGTAGGCAGAAATTTTAGGGCTGTGATCTTGCTGTTCTTATGAATACATGGGATATTTTCTGATTTTTATATAAGTAATGATACATTTATAAGATTTTTTTTGGTAAGCCAATAGCAGACAATTGAGAGTAACTGTTCTCATCACTAGTGTTTGATGTTTGATGAAAGTTTCTGGTGGATAGTAAATCGTATCCTGCCTTAAAATATGTTAAGATGTTTGCAAGGAGAATAGAGCATTTTTAATTTGAAAAATATATTGAAGTGAGGTAAAATTAATCTCTTGACATGAATTCCCTAAAGACCACACTGAATAAGTAATTGGAACATTGAAAGTAGTTTATACGTGGCTTGTTTTATTTTACCATCTTGGTTGTTTTTAGGTTTTACACACGCTGGAAAGATTGGGAATCTTGGTATTCTCAGAGCTTCGGTTTACATTTTTCCTTGAGAGAAGAACAGTGGCAAGAAGACTGGGCATTTATACTCTCTCTTGCTAGTCAGGTAAGGATGCTGCAGACCTAGTTGCTCCTCTGAGAAAGGTAAGCCACATGGCCTTAATTCCTCAGTTCACTTGAGCATCCATGTTGGAGGTATTGTGGTACAAGGCAAAAGTACTTGACTTGGCTGGCGTCAGTCGAATTGGGGTCTAGGCATCACTGCTGTTTGGCAAATATATTACCATAGTCAGTCCTCACTGTAGAACTTGTGTCTTTTACGTGGTAAGAACTATCAAAATGAAAGTTGTACTGTGATGATTCTAAGCATTATGTAGTCTTGAGATTGCGCTCCATTCCTCCCCACAGGAAGTTTTATTCCTCTTACAAACCTGCAGGTTTGCCTCTGTTCTGGACCTGAGGTGAGGATTTACCCAGGATCGTTGTACTCATAATATAGGCACTTTTAGGAGGAGCTGAGCTCTCAGGCTCTAGAGAAATCATTGTTCTTTAGAATGCTCCCCAGTGATGAGGCTGCATCCTTTCCCTGTTCAAAGGAAAAGGTGCAGTCTGCCTTCCTGTGAACTAATTGCGACAGACCAGGAATGACTTTTAATTGATGTGGGAATGAACTTTCTTAATATCTGCTACTATATTCTTTTGTAAATGAAGCCTGTAGAACACAAAACTGTGTGAGGTCATTCTTCTTATACCCTTGGTTTCATGCTAATTTCATTCAGTATAATGAATTGTAAATTTCAGATATGTACACAACATACTGACTTTTCTAGAAAGCACTATAGTTTATTTGAACCCTGAGTACCTTCCATTTGGGCCATTAGGGCAGGGTTCACTGCTAACCTAATCTGAGACGTGCACTTCATGGCTCTGTGTTAGTCACTAACTGGAAGATAGAGTATTACCATTTATGAGTTAGGTGATACAGCCATTTAACTTTGTGTAAAATAAAAGACTTTGTATGTAGATCTTTTCTAGTTAACTTAATTAGGATATGATTATACCAGTCATGCTTTGTTTGTATCTGAATCTCTGGTTCTTGCAATTGCAGAGTATTACGATTGGATAGAAAGGGTAACTCAGTATTTATCCACATCTACTGTATTCAGTTGGTGAATTTGGGTAGTGAATGATACTTGTGCATAGACACTGTAGATTTCTGTTACATTTTTAAAAGACTTTGTTATTGGGAGAGTCAAATGGTTTTAATTTTTTCTTTTTTTAAATGAATTGAGCTGGCCATGGTAGCATGCACCTGTGATTTCAGCATTCCGAATGGTGAGACAGATTGCTGTGAATTCAAGGCCAACCTCAGCAAGTTCCAGGCTAGTCTGAACTAGTGAGACCCTGACTCAGAAAAACAAAACAAAAAATTGAGAGTATACCTTTTTTTGGGAGACAGGGACTCGCTATGCAGTTCAGACTGGCCTGGAGCTCACTTTGTAGCCCAGGCTGGTCTTGAACAATGATCCTCCTGCCTCAGCCTCCTGAGTGCTGGGATTATAGGTGTGCGCCACCACTCCTGGCTGAGACAGTATACTGATGGTAGTATTAGTTTTTACACATCAGTTTTGGTAATAAATCTTAAGGATAAATTGCCTGTGTTTGTTTTGTTCTCTACAGCCTGGAGCAAGTTTGGAACAGACACACATTTTTGTACTTGCACATATTCTTAGACGACCAATTATAGTTTATGGAGTAAAGTATTATAAGAGTTTCCGGGGAGAAACTTTAGGATATACTCGGTTTCAAGGTAAGCCATTATTGAAGAACACTTCAGAAGTCTTGCTTTGTATGGTGATACAGTTTAAAGCCATGTCCGTAAGCAGTCATTAATGGGGGAGGATGAGATGATGGCTCAGAAGTTAGAACAGTATCCAGTGGCATGGGTAAATAGGAAGCAAGGGACCTGGGCTCTTTTCACCTGAATGTTGGTGGTTTGGGTCTGTCTTTTTTCCAGGAGTTTATCTACCTTTGTTGTGGGAACAGAGTTTTTGTTGGAAAAGTCCGATTGCTCTTGGCTATACAAGGGGCCACTTCTCTGCTTTGGTTGCCATGGAAAATGATGGCTATGGTAACCGAGGTGCTGGTGCTAACCTGAACACGGACGATGATGTTACTATCACATTTTTGCCTCTGGTTGACAGTGAAAGGAAACTGCTTCATGTGCATTTTCTATCTGCTCAGGAGGTAAGCAGCATTTCAAGTTGATCTTACCTGTATTACCAGTTTAATTTCTGAGTGTGGTTGTAGTAATTGTCATTTTATGTAAATTGTGGTCATGTAGATTGAAATTTACCTTTTCAGAATTCATTATGGGGGGCTGGGGATTTAGCTCAGCGGCACAGCGCCTGCCTGGCAAGTGCAAGGTCATGAGTTCAATTCCTGCTACCGGAAACAAAACAAAACAAAACAAAACAAAAAACAACAGAATTAATGTATGAAAATCAGGCAGGGAACCTAAGGAGTAAAGTCCTTGCCCTCCACTGATGAGTGCTAAGAAAAAGCAAAGAGCCTAGAGAATTTGTGACTTCAGCAGAGTGATAGGGAAGGTGTTAAGGAGGGATATGAGTTTTGCAGTCTAGTAGTAGAGAATTCTAAGAACTCCCACAACAAGTGCAGCTAAGGGGATAGGTAAAGGAAGGCAGGCAGATGAGGTCAGAAGGGTTAAGCACAAAGCAGGGCTTGTAAGCTCTTTTAAAGCTCTTGATTGTACTGTGGGTGCCCACAGGCGCGTTCTTGAGCTCATATTGTAGCCCAGGCTGGTCTGGAACAGGAGAGGGTTGGCTTGCCTGGTTAAGGCTGTCCTTAGGTAGAGCTTATATAGACTAGGCAGGGAAAGTGGCGAGACTGTACAAAAGAATACTCTCTTAGAAAGCCCATATTCATATAAAATTATTGATCTTTTATTCAATATACTAGTAATCATAAACATTTGTAATCACAACATTGAGAAAAATAAGTCATAGACCATAACTTGTACAATTTACGCCTATACATAATTTACCAAGTAAACTTACCTTGTCATGTGTTTGAAGTTGTGACTTTCTTTTTCTGGCATTTTCTTTGCCAGGATCAGTTAGAACATTGGCTTCTTGCTATTCTATCGAATTACCTTCTAGGGTGTTCATTCTGCTATCCTTTTCTGAGAATTTTCCCATTGATGTTTTTAAAAATTGAATCTGAAAAACTGAGTTTTAATGATAAAACTGGTAGTCGGATGAAACCATGCTAGAAGTTTATTGCTTTGGCCTTTTCATTGTCAGTATCAGCCCTAGGTTGTTCCTATCCTCTGATCTGGTGTATTCTTTTTTTCTTCAAACTCCTCTCAAAGCTAGGTAATGAGGAACAGCAAGAGAAACTGCTCAGGGAGTGGCTAGATTGCTGCGTGACAGAAGGGGGAGTTCTAGTTGCCATGCAGAAAAGTTCTCGGAGGCGTAATCACCCCCTGGTCACACAGATGGTAGAAAAATGGCTTGACCGATACCGACAAATCCGGCCTTGCACATCCCTGTCTGATGGAGAGGAAGATGAAGATGATGAAGATGAATGAAGATCAGGAAGACCAAGGCATCAGAGCTATGATGATTTTCAAAGTTAGTGTGGTGCTCCAAGCAGAGTGTACAGTGTGAAATGAAACAAATCTGGTAGGATATGTCCAGATACCTTTCTGATCCACACCCAGTGGAGATTAATGCATCTGCTGCATGAGGAGACTGAGAACCTTGGTTGAACTACAGTTTGTAAAAAACAAAACAGAAACTAATTTTATTAAGACAACCCTTTTTCCTTTCAAATTGTAAATCTGTCTATAAATGTAACGCATGTGGTTGTGTGAGAAATTGTGTAATAGGAAAAGTTGTACCAGCATCTTCATATTACTGAGAAATTTTTTTGCAGCACGGGCACTTACAAAAAGCACATGGCAGACAGCCCTTACTACTTTGAGATGTTCTCTGGATTAGAACCTGGCATTCTACTTTCACCTCAAAAGATCAGTTATACATTAAAAGTCTCAGATTTGGAAACTTTGTACAAATTATCCACAGTTAAACATAAAATAAACTTTTATTTTAATTTAGTTCCTGTTGTGCCCTGTAAAATAAAATCAAACCTTTTAGGAAGAAACTACAAGAAAAGTTAATAGTTTTTTATTGAGTAAACTTCACATAGGCATATTATTTGTCCTTTTTTAGTTTTCTGATTTGCCCACTTTTGGTATTTAGATACTTATTTATTTGTTTGGAAAAATGCCCTTAAAGGGAGGGTTCTTGTTCCAGACTCTGGACAGTAGTCAATTGTATGTATTTATTCCCTGGATGGAAAGGGAACAGGCTCGCTTGTCACTGAATGGATTGTGTGAAATGTTTACTTGGAGTCCATCCAAAATGTTGTACTCCCAAATTGCCAGGCAGAGGGTGTTTGGATTGCTCCTGTCTTTTATCATCACAGGACCTCTGCTCTAAGCAAATGCTGTTAGAAGGGCATGCCTTTGCTTGGGCTGATTGGGAATACCAGTTCAGTACAGAATAAAGATTTTAAAAATGCAGTAAGATGATAAAATGCATTGTATGATGAATTTCTATGTAGTCCGAGATTTTTTTTTTTTTTTTTTTTTGCATGTTGGTGAATTGTGGCCATTCTTATTAAAAGTTAAAAGCATAATCTTAGGTAGAAAAACTTTTTACGAAGAGTATTATTTGACTACTTCAGGTATATATACATTCAGTAGTAGGCAAATTTCTGGTCTATCTCAGGAACACAAGATCAGTGTCCTGATAAGCACTTTGTAGACTATTGAAGTGGGAATGATCTTGCAAAGAAGCAAATACTATACATTTCAATTTGCTAAAAAGGCTGTGAAAACCTTTAAATATTTACTTTTTCTGTTTAGATGGTTTCAAAAAGTATGTAACCTCAAATTTGATGCTGGGATACTAAAAATAGAAAAATATCCATGAGATGTCATGTCTTCAAGGTCTTTCTCCTTTTCTGAATACTCAGTAAAAAGCATCTCTAGGATGAAAGGATCATTTTGGTGCATGCTAAAACTTGCAGGAAATAAGTTATTTTTACAATATGAGTCCATATAAATGAATTTTGGTATATTGTAATGGTAAATGTTATTCTAAGTGGTTTTTTTACAAATTGTATGGTTTGCATTTATTTTGGTCAATGAAGTTTTTATAAGGCCTCCATCCTGACTGCTTAATACAGCATCTGTAGTAACCATTCTCCTTGCATAGGAATAGTTCTTTAGGGGGCAGTGATCCTTTTCCAGTTGTTAAGCAAAATCTGCCCTCCCCAGTGAAGCCAAAGACAAAAGTTAGAGGAAGAAGTACTTGGTGTCTGGGGTCTACACTGTACTAAAACACTGTCCAGAGAATCACAGGTTCAGTACTCAGCATCATCCTGTGTGTAGTACAGTGAGTGTCCTTTCCCCAGTTCCCTCTTTATTTGTTTATGATCAGTGACTCTGACCACATACCATTTGATGGATACAGCATTCTTCCCTGTGGGAAAGAATTAAGATGCTTCCATTTCCTAGGCTCCAGACAGGAATGGAGCTTTAAGTGGTTTTCATAACAGACTGACTAGCTATTAAAGGCCAGAACTTTTGGTAAATCAGTGCTCTGTTAAGCTCTTGAACTATTAAACAGCCATAATTACTGTCCCAAGAAAGATTACAAAGTCCTTTTTCAAAGGTGTATGTAGCTAGGTGACAGACATGAATGTCTTCAGGACAGTAACACAGGAATTATGTGGATTGATCTATTTTTTTTTTTCCCTAGGGTGAAACCAGTGTGGTGGTTTCTGTTCTCATTTCTTCTTGAAGTCATCTATATACACACTTGTGTCCAAGGGACTGTGTCAGCAACTAAGATCCAGTTAAAACCCAGGCACACTGTAGATTTAGACTTACCGTTCTCTATTTCTGAGTCTTAGTTATCCTGTCTTAGATTTAACCAACAATGCAGACCTCCTTTTTATGCTTATTCATTGTGGTTGATAAGTGATTATAAGTGTAATCACTATCTGCTTCTTGGGCTGATAGCCCAATAACCCAACTTCCATGTTTCTCCATGTGGTTGTTTTAATGTGACTTTTCATGGCAGAGTTGGGATGGGGTTACCATTTGAAAATGAGTCAGGACACAAGGCCAGGCAGCCTAATGCTTTCTTTAAGACACTATTTTTTTTTTTTCAATGGGAAGGTAAGGATAAAGAAAGGCTCAGAGAGAGTTTGACTCTTGAAATTACCGGACTTTGTAATACTAATATTAAAAAGCTCTGCTATTTTAAAAGGAAGATCCATTAAGTGAATCTAAACTTCTCAATCAGAAAAACAACTAATGTTAATTATTTTGCAACACTTTGTGTAAATATAATTGTTAGGTTATTGGCAAAAACAAAAAAAAAAGTTAAGGCCTACTTCCCTTCCTACATTAATGGTTGAGCCAGATAACTTTGGATGGGGTAAATTAAAATCAAAATTCTAAAAGTTGACTTTGTTTCTGGAATTGACTTTGCTTTAATACATGGCTTCATCTTAAGGACGGCTTGGTCTGAGAACAATGGACTTGTATGAGAGGTCACAGCATCACTGTTAACAGATGAGGTAATTGTTAGCATTCTTGAGTCTGCTGATGAGAAGAGACAGAACCTTGGAGGAATGAGAGTTGGAAATTGGCTACTTGACAATGTAGTTGCCTTTAAACATCTCAAGTAGAGAACTTCTACACTGGTGAGATGTACTGGAATTTCAGAACAGAAATTTTAATTTCTTTTTATTGAAAACTGCACTGAACGCTAAATGTCCACCTTTACAATAAACAAATACAGTAACGGTAACTCACACTAAAACAAAACATAGTTCTGATAGCCATTATTTTTCTGTTTGGGACAGTTTAAAGTTTTTCTTTTGTCACAAAAACAGGAATGTACCTATACAAAGGCTCAAAATAGGCCATCTTTTTAAACAGAAAGGCAATGATTCACAAAAGACTATGAATAGAACATGTAACTAGTTGATACAAATCTAATAGGATTTGTTAAAATCAGTCACATCTAATAACACATCTGAAGTGTTTTTGTATAAAATATCACGTGAAGAAAAGAATTTATCAATGTCTAAAAAAGTGGGTTTGTTCATAGACAATCTGACAAGTTACCATAAAAAGTGTTTCCTGAGACATAAGGAAATGCAACATTATTCTTCTTGAACCCTTACAGTTCAAGACTTTCCACTCAATAAAATAGCTGAGGATCTGAAACTGAGAAAATATATTTGAGTACAAACAGCTTGTGAAACTTAATAATTTTTCTTTCACTTTTTTTGCATCACCAGAGGGTATTACTGAACTAACAACCAACTTGCGCGCTCAGTATGCAGTTCAGATGTGAGACACTTCTTTGTACAGGAGCCTGGACTCTTCACTCCTAGGAGTGCAGGTGTCTAACAGGCAGTTTTCTCCCCATTTTGTAGTAATTTAATCTTCCTACTAGTAAAAAGAGGTAACGAGCCCCTGTAGACCAAAGGGACTAGAGTCATAAGATGGGGATTTCCTCTTAACATTTTTTTATTTTGATGTTTGGAACTCTTGATGCAACATTCTAGAGCAAGTTGCTCAGACCTGCTGTGTCCAAGGGACTGATAAAGGAAAAAGCTCTATTTATTCTTTGTGATTTGATGCACAGATGAAAAACTTAACACACAATAACAGAAGTTGGTCGTTAATAAGTCACGTCCTAGTCTTTCAGCGCTTCTGGAAGCAGACATCTTCAACTGTCTAGCTCTTGTAGCTTTAACACTGCAACATCACGGATGTGTATGTCCAGGATCAGTTAAAAAGACTGTCAGAGACTTTTCTCTTAGTTCATCCATTTTGCACTGTCTCTTGGTCCCAAGTTTATGCAAATGATTACCTGTCAGTATTCTCTGCTATTGCTCATTGGGGTGCTCATGTTTTGTGGGTTGGTTGGGAGAGGGAGCTTGGGAAGGATGTGCCACCGTGGGGAGGTTGTGAGTCACTGGGATGCCTCCGGGGATAATCCCTTCCATGGCTGCAGGAAGTCCTCCCGGAGCCACACCTACAATGCCTGGTGGATACCTGAGAAACACACGGAAAAAGGGCCTTGTAAGTCCAGGACAACATCTGCTCTTGTTGCTTTCATTATTATGGGACAGTTTGTGGTCCTCTTTACCCACCGAAGTAAGGATCACACACTGGTGCTTAGTTCACTTAAAAACGTAATCACTAGGCCAGTAATTTTGTAGCTTTTAGATGAGAAACGATACCATATTTTGTTTGAAAAACATTTTGTAGAGAATAGGCCCCATGCTTGGACACTTAGGATTCCCCAACAGACTGCAGGAAGTAGTCTCAGAAAGTTAAATGTGCTGTTAAGCAGGTCAATCCTGTGGTGTATGCCTATAATTCCATTTGAGGGGCTGAGGAAGTTTTGAGTTGAGCCTGGGCAACGTAGCAAGACACTATGAAAATAAAATTTTTAAAAGTTTAGGGAGACAGCTCAGTAGTAAAGCACCTGCCTCGCATGTTCCAGGCTCCAGGTTCATTTTCCATTATCACCAAAAACAAAAAAAATACCCCAACTACTCCCTAGTGGGATGTGCTATTATTGATAGTGTCTTTGTAAGTTAGTATAGTAACTCACCAGAAAATAACAGAATCCAATCATGCTGGCACCTTGTTCTGAGAAAATGTGAGAAGTCTGTGGTGTATAAGCCTTTGCTACCCAAATTTACAAAGAATTCCTGGGCTGGTGGGTGGTGTGTTCTTTTGGAGGCAGCCTAGGAAAGGGGAACTGATATGCTGGCTGTTAGCTTATATTACACTGTAGGGACAATGTGAGGGGATGCTGTGTTAGCCACCTACGGAAAATACGATTCTAAGGCACAAAACTAATTCAATGTGCTTAAATGTACTTCTGATGGAGATGCTTCAGCATATTTTGTTTGCTAATTTATCAAACCCCTTTTATAACTGATGTAATGAGGATAGCATCTCCTGTTGAAGCTACCCTTCCCCAGATTCTAGTCAGAAATCTGGAGGACCTCCACATCTTTTGAGCGCCCCGCAGAGCCCATGTAACGTTCTGGAGGCTCTGTGAGTCTTGGACTACAGTGATGGTGAATGTCTTAAGCTGACTGCCCAAAATGCAACCCAAAACATTTACTGCAAAGTCCCAGCACTGAAATCAAACCTGAATACTGAGATTAAAACATACTAAGATTGTGGTGCTTATGAAGACAAGAATGAAATGTAAACAAATCGCCACACGGTCTGGTGCCAACAGCACAGCCCCTTAAGCCTTCACTACGTACACTATGCCCTTTCAGGCCCAGTGGTTCCTAGGGGGCACACAGCAATGTTTAGTGACACTTGGAGCTGTCGCAACACAGAGTGGGAGGTGCTTCAGGCATTAGCAGGTAGAGGCCAGGGATACTACTGACACCCCACAGTGTACTGGACAAGTTTCTACAAGAATGAACTGGGCCGCAATGGGAGTACTGTCAAGGATGGGAAACCGAGATTTGGGGCAAGCCGTACACTCCTCCTTGGACTCAAAAGCCACATCCACCTCTTCTCCTTCACGCATGGAAGAGCTATTTCCCTGTAGTCCAACAATAATAGGGGGTGGTGGGGAGGGGCCTTGGAAACTTCTACAAACGAACCTTTACCAGCCCGGTGTGGATACACCCCCAGTGTAGTCACACTTTTTACCCCAGCTGCCCACACTGCCATACGCAATCTCTGTGTGTGGATAGGGCATTGTTTCTACTTGATTTAAAAATTCTTCTGTCACAGTGTTTTCCTTCGATAAGAGTCAAGTTAGAAAGTACAATTACTAATAAAATTACTGACCTCATCTTTACCTTTTCTATAAGAAAGCCCCTCACTTTATAATGGCCTCCAAGGGAAACACAATTGCCAGCACTCTGGTCAGTCCAGTCTGGGTAATTACCCTGCAGGCTACTCAAGTCCGCTATCACAGCACTATCCCCTGATCCCAGCCCTCTTTAAGAAATTCTTGCTGAGGGGCTGGGGATTTAGCTCAGCGGCAAAGTGCCTGCCTGGCAAGCGCAAGGTCGTGAGTTCGGTTCCCGGTACCGGAGAAAAAATTAAAAAAAAAAAAAAAAAAAGAAATTCTTGCTGTATTTCTTAACTCTTAATTCTAAGCTGTTTCCCAAAAGTGTGTTCATCAAAATTGGGCAATGGAAAAAGTGTGAGGGAGGATAACGTATGCAATTCCCACTGAGAAGGCCGCTTTATCTTTGCTGTCCAGGTTAGATCCACTTCCCCCAGGTTTGGGCTTTTCTCCCCATGATCGCTAGCTGGAGAGAGAAAATCACTTCATCTTCTCACCTGTATGTGGCACCATTGAGCTCAGGATGAATTGCTTGCTGGTCTATTACTGACCAAGGAGCTGATGTGACGAAGAATTCCTTGTTGACACAGTTTCTTAAGCTTTCTGGGATGCGACCTAGAGTAAAAGTTAATTCATATGTACATTTTTAAGGTCACAGCAAGTTCAGTATTAAACTTGGTGAGGGGAAACAGAACAGAAATGAACCTCCTAACCCTAGGTCCACCCTTTGTAGTTTGTAAGACTTACATTGTCTGGGAGTAAAGGGAATTGGCTTCCTCTCAAATTTATTACAAAATTATATACACAGAGCCCAGCTCAGACAAAATTTAATTAACCTGACTTAATTTTTTGTACAGCTGCCTAGTCAGAGGTATAACCAGCAAGGCTAGTAGCCGCTCTGCTGTGTAGCCAAGACTTCTTTGAGCCAGCCAGATCAGCAGTGGGCTGGGGCGGGGGAGGGCTCACCTGTGATGGCTCGGCGGATCTCTGTGGCAGCTGCCTCCCTCATCTCCAGGGATGCTTGTTCACTGTACCAGGCTGTGTGGGGAGTACAGATGAGATTTGGTGCGTCTTTCAATGGACCCTGAGCAAAGCTAGGTAAATGGAAACAAACTCAGTAAATTGCGAAGAGGTTAATACAACTGCTGCACCACTCAAAAAGAACTCTTGGCTATCTGAATGGATAAAAGAAGTATTATTCTGTGTCATAGCTCATTAGGGTTGGGGATTTTAGAACCCAACCATAAAGGAAAGGAAAAGTCAATTGTACTGCAAGCTGCCTTCCTCTAACAAGAACTATGATTCTGGGGTGTAGAGGAAGCCTGTCTATCTACAGATCAGACCACCACCATGACATTTTTGTCTTTCCTGTCTCTTAATCTTCAGGGACCGTCTGATCACTTTATAATTAAAGAGAATACTGCAGTCTTTAGAACAGCAGAGACTAGACATCATCCCCAGAATTTCCTACCCAGGGATTCGTCTGGGAAAATGCTACCACACGTTCAGAGGTCAGTTTACAATCGGGCCCTACACCCTGGTAGGAGATGAGCCGCACACCCACCTAAAGGGCTCAGATTCGTGCACGTCAAGGGCTGCCCCTCGTATCCTGCCCTCTTTGAGGGCCTGGGCTAAGGCTTTCTCATCCACCAGGCCGCCTCGGGCTGCATTCACTAGGAATGCTCCTTGCCTCATCTGTGAAAGGAAAGAGAAGCTGGTTATACCATGCAGCTGCAGCAGGAGATTCTGGAACCACGGCTTTAAGAGGAAAGCTGCAAACTAGGAATTCTGTTGGTCCGTGGTATGTTTGGTAGAAGGGGATGGGAAGTCTTGGTGGTATCTGGGAGGGGAGGTGGAAGGCCGGACCTGCCTGCTTCCCTCAGTAAGGGATCTGGCCCAGGACTCTCTGCTGCTCTGTGTCCACGAACCATTTGCATTTCTCTTGTGGCCACCAGAGGTGCTCTCCTTGGAAGGAAGCTTCTAGGGCAGTGGTGGTGAACCTTGGGGATGCAAGCCACAGCAGGCACGCAGAGCCCTCCCTCAGTATGTGAGCCTTGTCCCCACAGCATCGCCCCCACAGCTGAGTGCTAACAGCACACACAGGAGTACTGTTGGCTCTTTGTGATGACTAAGTGGGTTTTTGTTTGCAGTCTGGGCACTTGGTCTCTAAAAGATCTGCCGTCAGTGTTACAGGGTTTGAGGACAACTATTTTCAAATCACCTGCTTTATAGTAAAGTCATTGATGAGGTGGTGGTTATGTTCATTGAGATTGCAGTGCAAGGAGACACAGTCACTCTGATACAGCAAATCCTGGAGGGTGTAGACCCTCTGCACGCCCAGGGATCGCTCTATGCCATCCTGCAAGTAGGGGTCATAAAATATGACGCTGAATCCAAAGGCCTTGGCTCGAACAGCAACCGCCTGCCCTGTGCGACCTGTGCAGAGACAAAATGTCTACATGAGTGAGGCTTCCTATAGGTGCCCTGTGCGTTGCTGCTGCTTGCCCCTACCCTGCCGTCCTGGCACGTCCTAAAGTGGGCCCGAGGTCACCAGCCCAGCTGGCAGCTGCTGACAGAATAATCAGGCGCAAGTAGAATGGTGCCCAAGGCCAGCGCATGCCCTCTGCCCAGGTCACACGCCAAAATGGGCCTGGGTGTCCTAGGTGAGGACCATAGTGTGTGCTTATATTTGCTACAGTGGGAACATTTGTTTTTAAACTTAGGGATATTTTTCAAACCTCTACTCAGCTAGAATGTTCTAATGAGCCTCTTGTGCCCCTCCCCAGCTCTCCCAGGATTCTCACATTCCTGTTTATGTGCCCTAGTTTTTTGTTCACATAGCAGGCCTCTCAAAATAAGCAGCATTGCTTTATTATGTTGGTATCTGACAGGGAATGTTCCCCAACACAATTAACACTGGGTTTCCTCCTGCTGGGGTGCAGTGTTCCAGAGTGTCGTGGCTGTGCAGCACGAGCACATACTGGCTGTGTAACGTGGCTCTGGCCAAGAGGCAGGGCATGCACCTGTTGCTCCACAACCAGCTCTAGCATGCAGACAGGGATGCCACAAGTTATAATGAACATCACTGAACGGGACAAGAAGGTGCTCTCGACTCCATTTGCACCCATCCACTTGACAGGGCCTTCTGCTTCCCAGAGCACTTTGGAGCTTGAACACAAAGTAGCTAAGTGATGCTTGTTGGGGTTCAGTTGGGGAGATCATGAACTAAATCCTTACCCAAAACCCTAGTTCAAATGTGCAGGCAGGGAGAAAGGAACAAGGGGAGACACACGCTTTCAAGCAAGAAGATGGTGTTTGAGGGGCAACTTGCTGGTAAATGCCCTGTTCCCTGACAGCTAGATCTAACTGGACAAGACTGAAACAATGCTATGGTCTGCAGGCAAAGGTTTAAAGAGGCTATTCTGACCAAGAGGACAGCTACAACGCAATCAGTGGGCCAGTATACACCAGGTCACCCCACCACTGGGATGTAGCAGACCTGGGACGAGCCACAAACCTGGTACTAGGGCAGCAGAACAAGCAGAATTAGTCATGGGAGGAAACAGAAGTTTGGTAGCTGCTGGGCTGGAAGATTTGTCTTGGACACATTAGTGGTACTCTGGTTCATAAGATTAATTCTTTCCACAATTTTGGTGGCAAACCAAATTGGACAAGAAGGGAATCAAATTCAATGCTTAGGTGCACTGCTGACCCTGTGGGGTAATTTGATTTGGTTCTGAGCTAGCTTGGTTTGTGACCGAAGTCATGGAAAGAATTGGGGTTGTGAACTGAGGTCCTGGCATACATGAAACGTGGGATTAGGGACTCATGGTGTGGCTGCTGGGAGTCCATTTTCAACAGGGTAAATGCCTCCTTCACCCAGGCCGGGTGCTTCACCCACGCTCTGGACTTCTGACAACTCAGACCTGAGACTGACCCCTCCTCTGCACATCAGGGAGCGGGTAGAGAGGCAGCCCACAGTGAAAGGTCAGACTGAACACAGCTGTGAAGGGGCCTGGCCACTCATTCTCCGTGGGTTTTGTGTTTGTTTTTTCCTTTTTCAAATGCTTACCTTTTCACTGCCTTCCACCTTACCATGAGATTTTGTGACTGAAAACCTAATACGAAACAGTCTTGAAGAAGAGAACCCAAGTGTCTAGGCCTTTTATCTGTAAAATTTTTTAAAGCATCAGTACCACTGGTTACCTTTCTCTTCCACTTCTTTAGGAAGCCCTCTGGCAGAGAAAACAGCCCATCACCAGCGGGGCACCAGCAGAGGGTGCTGCAGCACATGCACATGCTGCATCTGCATTTCATCAAACCATAAAAAACAGGATGAGGTCCTAGTAAAATGGCTTTAAAGACTAGCTTTCCGGGCCTGGGGTTTACAGCTCAGTGGTAAAGTGCTTCCCCCTAACGTGCAAAGACCCTGGGTTCAATCTCCAGCAGTGGAAAAAAAACAGGGTGAGCTGGGAGGGGCTTCCCCAATTCATTATCCCAAAGTACAAAAAAAAAAAAAAAAAAAAATACAAAAAAAAAAAAAAAAATGTACCTTTGGGGGGGGAAAAAAAAATCAATGGCCACGCAATGCCTGCCTGGTTAGCGCAAGGTCTTGAGTCTGATTCCCAGTGCAAAACAAAACAAAACAAAACAAAACAAAACACAACACCAAACAAAAACCAAACAGCAATATATGTGCGCTCATGTTTATAGCAGCGCAACTTGTCACAGCTAAATCTTGGAAACAACCCAAATGCCCATTAACTGAGGAATCAATAAAAAAGATGTGGTATTTTTGTACAATGAAATACTACTCAGCTATAAAGAAAGATAAACTTGAGGCTTTTGTAGGTAAATGGATGCAACTTGAAACCATTCTCATAAGTGAAACAAAGCAGACATGCATGTGTAAACATGGTATTGTCTCCCTAGTGTAAGAATATGAAAAAGTAAATAAAACCCAAAAGGTACAATAGATTTTGTGAAAGGGAAAGAAACTCCTCAAAAGGAAAGAAGAACTGGGATAAGGGAGAGGAGAAAAGAAAGGGGGGAGAAATTGTACACACACACATACACACACACACACACACACACACACACATACAGGATACCTTCATTAACTGCATTGCTGATGTCTATTGGTTTATTGACAGGAACACTCAATGCTTAAATTTTTTTGACCAGTTTTGCATGCTTTTATATCTGGTAATCTGAGCAATTAATTTGAAGAGAACAATATGCAATATAACAACCA